CAAACAAAATAAAGCTCTAATTTTTCCTTGCTTATATATCAACAATTTATTTTCTTTGCAGGTTAGTAGATGCAGTAGACTCTGGAGATGTTTCTGCAAAGTTTTATGACATTGATACTACTTAGATAGCTCTTTGATCGGCTTTACCCCAACCAATAGTATGGTCACTAGAACATTACAGGAGTGCAGCGGCTCTGTGTGCCAAGAGACTAAGGTCCTGTTTGTTTCTCCATCCAAATGATCCATCTAGATGGAGATGAAAAATGATGTTTGTTTTTGACAATTTAACAAGCATTTGGATGGATCATCTGGATGATCCATCTGAATGAGTTTCTAAATTTAGGCAAATTTATGAAACTTATTTGGATGAACTTGATTGAACCATTTGGATGGAGATGAACATTCAAAAAGAACAAAAGACAGATATACCCTCTTATACAATCATATTTTAAATAATATTATTTTGTATAGATTTCTTATTTAATATTTTTAAAATAATATTTTCCCGCCAAAACCGCAAAATCATGTTTTCCCACTAAAACTGCAAAATTACATTTTTCAGCCAAAACCATAAAATCGTATTTTACACCAAAACGGTAAAATCATATTTTCCCGCCAAAACTGCAAAATAATATTTTCACACCAAAACCGTAAAATCATATTTTCCCGCCAAAACTGCAAAATAATATTTTCACACCAAAACCGTAAAATCATATTTTCCCGCCAAAACCGCAAAATCATGTTTTCCTGCAAAACCTGCAAAATCATATTTTCCCGCCAAAACCGCAAAATCATGTTTTCCCGCCAAAACTGCAAAATTACATTTTTCGTATTTTCCCACCAAAACCGTAAAATCATATTTTCTCGCCAAAAGTGCAAAATAATATTTTCCGCCAGAACTGCAAAATCATGTTTTCCCGCCGAAACTGCAAAATTACATTTTTTAGCCAAAACCATAAAATCATTTTCCCCCGCCAAAACCGTAAAATCGTATTTTTCCGCCAAAACTGCAAAATCATGTTTTTTCGCCAAAACCGCAAAATCATGTTTTCCGCCAAATCTGCAAAATTACATTTTTCAGCCAAAACCATAAAATCGTATTTTCCCGCCAAAACCGTAAAATCATATTTTTCCGCCAAAACTGCAAAGTTATATTTTCCACCAACGGCAAATCATATTTCTTATCATATTAATTTTTTCGTTAAAAATCATTAAAAACATATTTTCCCGCCGAAACAGAAAAATTATATCTTTTGCCAAAACTCGCAAAATCATGTTTTCCGGCCAAACTTGTATAATTATTTTGTATATATTTTAATAACTATAAATAAAATTAATTTTTATATATTAAAATAATAATTTATTTAGTTTTTATATGTGATTATTTGTCAAAATGAAAGCATGGGTATTTTAGTCATTTTGGTCTATATGAGATTTAGGATGAATTACAAAATGATCAAACAAAAAAAGATCCATTTAAATGCATCATTTGGATGAAATAACAAATATTAAAACAAACATCATTCAAATGCATCATCCAAATGAATCATCTAAATGGACCATTTGAATGCAAATGTAAAATGATGAAACAAACAGGGCTAAGGAAAGAAAATCAGAAGAACTGGATGTTGCATTTTGTTGAAAGTCTGGGGAGAGTCAGCAGTCTAGCTCGCAAGACGCTGTTGTTATCCGCGTGAACACCAACTTTCACAGTTTCAAGACATTCCAACTTTCCCAAGAAATGTCTCATCTGTTTGAGCTCTTGAAAAGAACCTCCATACCCTGAAACCTCTAGCACTTTCACTTGACATATACATAAACAGCATATTTTCTCTTCCTTCTTATTCATTACAATCTTCCTCTTCCTAATATGCTTCTTAGGGCTGCAAGCGCATGCATCTCCACATCCATTTGTTACTCTGTGCTCAAGACCCTGAAACCATAGACCAATTTGACATGTATAAATTAATGGGAAACACCAACAACATAAAAGAATCTCAGTAAGGAAACTGATAATACCTTGATGACTAAAGTTTGTAGATTTGGACAACTCTTGATCAAAAGTGGCATTACTTGCCAACCCTTTTCCTTGTCACTCTCAATAGATAACTTAAGGAGTTTGTTGAAAACCGGCATTGAATTACAACGGATATGAAATACCTGATACACAACAACAACAAAAACCATATAAAAGTGAGAGACCTTGCTAGCTCTACAAACCAAAAATAGAAGAAGTATCAGAAACTGACCTCAAGGGAATCAGGAGACAAGTGAAGGGTTGTAATGTTGGCTATACCCGCAACTAGATTTGTAACATCGCCAAACATAGCATCATCATAATAATCATAAGCATTATAATCAGAATTATAATTATAATTATAATCATCATCATCCTCGTCATAATCATCATCATCAGAAGACGAAGAAGGATCATAATCTTTAGTTGACTGCCATAATCTGATATTCAACCTGGCCTCAACAAGCGAATCCAAAGCAACATACTGATAATTTTCAAAGACGTAACTAGAGTAGTCAAGGTAGACAAGGTTTGGTGCTTCAAAACAAGATACTTCGTGATCGTATTTATAATCTGGACAATTAGTAAAAACCACAAGTCGCTTGATAGATGCACTTTTCACAAACGCACCGCAACATGGCGAACCCAAAAGATCATCATCACGTATGTATAACTCTTCCAACGCAGGACAGCCATCAAGGAGGGAACAATAGTTGTCATAATCAAGCCCTAAAACTGATAATAGAGAAAGTGATTTGAGCGCAGGGAAAAACACAGACTTGACTTCAATAGCATATAGACCGGATAGTGTGACCTTAACCAGTGTCTTGCTCGTCAACAACTCTGTCTCTATATCAAAATAGTGTCTATATGCGTGCAAGTGTAGTTCCAATAAACCACGTTCCTGTTCCATAGCAGTCGAAATCCAACGGTGGTATGCATCGTTATAGCCAGGTCTGGGCTCATGACACAGAGAGAACTTCTTGATGTGAGAATTGCCTAACAGAGCAAATGTCTTGTCTACGAAATCTACGAAGCGAAGTGAACCACTTTTTGCTTCTTCTTCGTTAGGATACACAACCAGCGACTCATCAAAACAAAGGGTGTCTACAAGACCCAGTAGATTCCTCCACCTTGTGGACAGAACCGATGTCGAAGCAGCCACCTTTGTCGGAAGTAAAGACAGGATTTTGCCAAGAATCTCATCTGGCAAATTGCTGATCGAATCTCTAGAAGAGCTCTTAGCCATAAAATTAGGGCTTTGATTGTACCTACTACACACTCAAACTCGATTAGGGGCACAACAAGTTCCTCCTATGGAATCAAAAAGATGATCCTTTGAATCGAAGGAGAGTGAGAGAGAGACTCGGGAAGATCGAAAAGCTTTGGGCCTTTACTATTCTGGGCCTTATATCTTATTAGGTTGTTTATAAAACCCTATACTATTTTGGGCTTTGTTGTTACTCATATCATATTTTGTGACTTGGAAGCGTGTGACTCACGTTTGACTATAAACAAACCCTAGCAAAATCGCAAATTGCTAACTTAAGATGGCCGGCGACAGCTTCCTCACCGCCGATTTAATATCCCCTAGCCACCACAAAGGTTTTCAGAAAATCAAAGGAGGAGTAGAGTCAATTAGCTCTTTACCTGATGTGATCCTCCAACATATCCTCTCTTTTATTTCAACTAAATTATTATTTATTTATTTTTTTTTATTTTTTTTTTTAATTTTTTTTTTTTTCAACTAAATTAGCCATCAGAACTTCCCTTTTATCAAAACGATGGAGGCATGTTTGGTGCGATATACCTTCTCTCTCCTTCGATGAAGATAACGATAACGTGACACTGAAGTTTGCTTCGATAAACAAAACCCTAATTACTCTGTACAAAGCTCCGAAGATAATAAATTTTCACCTCAAAACCACCGTGAAGCAGAATGTTCCCCACATCGACAGTTGGATCGAGTTCGCCATGTCCCGCAACGTGGAGAACATGTATCTGGATTTCTGGAAACCTTTTTCCTATCATAAGTATAAGTTTCCTGATTTCTTCTACATCAACTCCTCTGTCAAGCAACTCATACTTAGGTTCAACTTTTCTTTGTCTCAACTATTCCGACCTTCCAGGATGATTTCCTTCAGCTGCAAGTCATGGCGCTCACGATGCTAGAAAAGTTGCAGAATGTAGATAAGCTTACTCTTAAGGAAAACTTTCTTCATGTATGTATTGGCCTCATTCTTGCATTATTATCACTATAGAATCACTAGTTCATTAGAATTTGATTTTCTATAAGTTTATGCATCTCGGTATTCACTATCTTTCTTTGCTTTTTGTTAGATTTTATCTCTTGCCGAGGTTCGTGGTGTTCCTTTTCCGATGTTGAAAGTGAAATATTTGACTCTTGAGACGGTAATCTTCCGGTATGTTATTCCTGGTATAGAAAGAGTGTTACAAAACTCACCTGATTTAAAGCAGCTAACAGTACACGCAAAGAATTGCAACAACGCCATACGGGTATATATTTACCATTAGCCTCTTTTATTAATTTCCCTTGGCTTCCCTTCTAACAATCGACGAATATATCCAAGAACCATTTTTGAATTTTCATCTGTTGAGCAGGAGGAGGATCTTGACAACTACTTGGAGCAAGAAGGCTTGAATCCGGATCAATGCTGGAGATCAAAAGATGGGGTCGATTGGAACACGTCCAGTTTGGATGTAGAGTCAAAGCATATGGTTTCATTCATGGAACTCGTGCTTAAAAACACAAAGACATTAGACAAGATGATCCTACTTAGGTTTAAGTTTAAAGACCTGGTTCCACCACTTTCTCACAACAATGTCTCCATTGTGGTCAGATGAGTGGTGAATCATAGGGTTTAGTCTTCACTCTTATTGAACCATTTTTTTATATTTGGTGTACTTCATATAGTTTAGCATATTTTGATGTTAAATGTTGCTATGTCTAACAAGGCAAATAGAACACACACATGCATTATTTTCAATCCTAATGAATTATCAGAAATACAATGTAAAGAGTAGTAACTAATTTAGAGTGCAGCATGATGGAGCGGAGAAGACGATGGGGTAATGCTACATTTGGTAAAGGGATTGATGGTATTGAGTCTCTTTAGCCACTTGGATCTCTTTTTCTCTCCAGTTTCACTTCTTGTTTCACTCATCTTTCGCTTCTTGCTCTTGTTCTTACTATTATCCAATCCAAAGCAGCTCGGCGCAGATACATTTTCATAGACAGACTCTCTCGAAGACTGCAGAGCGTAGATTTGGTTCTGGAGATGACACATCTTTTGAAAATGTTCATCCCTCATCTTAAGCACGCATCTAGCAAGCCTAACTGCTTCCTTTTTCATAAACAGCGCTTCAGTGGCGAGCTCTCGGTTCTCTTCCAGGAGAGAAGTGAGTTTGTATCCGAGATTTGCGGTTTCCTCTACAGCTACTTCTTTCTCCATGTCAAGTAACATCACAAGCTTCTTTAGCAATTCAATTGTCTTGGAAGCTTCTAGCAACTTTTTTTCTCTGCTTTGTAACTCGTGCTTCGCAGTATCTTTCTCCAAGTTCGCAGTCACGAGCTGCGAGACTAACTCTTCAATGTTCTTGTGCTTATCACTAGTGGAGATTTCCATCTGTTGAAAGGACAAGATGCTTTCTACTTCAGAAGTGATGTCAGTATCAGTATCATTGTCATGAGGAATGACTTGTTTAGGGTTTTGATTGAAACGGTCCAAGAGAGTAGCGTAACCATCGTAGAGATCTTGACAGAGTGAGAGAAGGAGAGGACGTCTCTGGTAAAACCATTCAGCACGTTGAGAAAACGTTTCACCGGTTTGGTTTTCTTCAAGAGCAGAGACGCGCATTACTTGCATCCGAGACTCCAGCTCTGTTTTCATTCATCAAACATTTCAAACCAAGTAAGCACAAAAACATATATAAAGTTTCAAATTTTCGAGTAGGAAGGTTAGTGTACCGGAGAGAGATGGCAACTGTGTAAGAGGAGACTGAGAGACATCCATGGATTCTGTCGATTGCTTTGCTGGTTAAGGGAAAGGTAAAAATCAGGGGAAGCTCAAGGAGAATTCAAAAACACCATTTTCAAATTATAAGGAAAAAAAGGCAAACGTATGAATCAGTGAGATATGGATATGGACATTAATGGGGTTTGAAAAAATTACAATAAATGCTGCAAATATCCGGAAAGGATTCGTTCATCGAGCAGCATGAGACATGAGTTATGAGTATATATATATATATATATATATATATATATATATATATATATATATATGGAAACTCTCCGAGAAGGTGAGAGATATGAGGATTTTGGAGATTTGTTGAATCAGTAGAAAGCATAAAAGAGGCAGTAAAATTTGCCTAAATCAAATATGAAAATGTTCCACTGTAGGAATTTTCAACACATGCCTCTAAATCCAATTACCTTCAGCCCATTATAAATATTTTTCTCGCTATCACAACATAGTAGTGTTGACATTCTAAAAAAAAACACATGTTTACTTGCGTTGTAGTGTTGTAGTCGACAATACAAACAACCTAAGCATCTATAAAAACAAAATAATCATAATACAGATTTAACACAAAAGTATCATAAAGCATCTCATACTCATAGAGAAAGAGTGTGGCAAAAGATGAAATATCCAAACACTCGCAAACTCTCAGTAACAAGTAGAAATAAGACAAGTCTTAGAAAGCAAACATCATTGACCTAAAGGTAGATAGAGGGTGAACCAACTCAGCAGTAGAACATAACACGCTTCACATTCTCTTTCAATCCACCATTCATTATCCTGAATAGCATCAGAGACTGAAGCATTTATTGGCAGACCGGTAACCCTTGGACCATTTTCACCAGCAATATCCAACAAAGGCCCTAAACCAAACCAAAATTCTGAGCTTACATAAGCTCTTCCAAATCCAACTGCCAGCAGTTGAACCATCCATATCCCAGAAACATAAAATGCCAATCAAATGATGTCTGAAACTCATAGTGAGCCACTGTCCGTGAAAATAAGCCATATCAGTTTCAAACCCAGCACTTTGTTACCTGGCAAACATTTTTCCATATAAAATATTTTATAAAAATAAATAAAGTGACCACGCGACGTGTCGAGGCCTGCGCGACTGCGTTTGCCACGTCTCGGCCGCCTCCTCCATTCGCTTTCCCTAACTAAATATCCGATGTTTTTTTTTTTTTTTTTTGGTAAAATAAATATCTTCCATAAATAAATATCCGATGTTGTCATTTCTTCTCGGTATCACCGAAGAATGACCGGCGCTACTAGCATCAGGAAGCTCCCATCTCTCTCCGGCCTCCATCACCGCCGTAATCCACTGGAAGATAATCCCTTCTTCCACCCGTCCGATGGCTTCTACATCACTACTTCTGACGTCATCCTCGCCCAGGTTGCCTACGACCTCTCCGCCCAATCCCAATCACGCGTGGCCTACCACAGGGCTGGTCCTCGCCGTGAGATCATGTACGAGCCATCGGCTGTGAAGGCGGCGATCGTTACGTGCGGTGGGCTGTGCCCTGGCATGAACACAGTCATAAGAGAACTCGTGGTGGGTCTTTGGGAGCTCTACGGTGTCAGAGAGATTTATGGCATTCCAGCTGGTTACAGAGGCTTTTATTCCATGGAAGCCGTCAAGTTAGATCCCAAGGCGGTTCATGATTGGCACAAGAAGGGTGGTACTGTCCTCGCCACTTCCCGAGGTGGCTTCCATCTCCATAACATCGTCGATGCCATCCAACTCAACGGTTTCAACCAGGTTCAGTTCTACAACATTAATTATATATCAACAAGGGAAGTTGTTGAGTTTGAACCAAATTCCCTCTTTTGCCTCTGTGTCAGGTGTATATAATAGGAGGAGACGGCACAATGCGTGGGGCTGTCGAGATCTTCAAGGAAATCACCCTCAGGAAACTGGAGGTGGGAATCACAGGTATTCCCAAAACCGTGGACAACGATGTCGGCATCATTGATAGATCATTCGGCTTTCAAACGGCTGTAGAGATGGCTCAGCAGGCTATATCTGCTGCTCACGTGGAGGCCGAGAGCGCAGTCAATGGCATTGGACTTGTGAAGCTTATGGGCAGAAGTACTGGCCACATTGCTCTACATGCCACTCTTAGCAGCCGTGATGTGGACTGTTGTTTGATCCCTGAGATGGACTTCTACCTTGAAGGCAAAGGTGGGCTCTTTGAGTTTCTGGAGAAGAGACTAAAAGAACGCGGGCATGCTGTTCTTGTTGTGGCTGAAGGGGCAGGCCAAGAGATGATCCCAAGAAATGAATCACAGAAACAAGAGAGGGATGAATCTGGCAACCCTGTTTTCTTGGATGTCGGAGTCTGGTTTAAGTCAGTGCTCAAGGACTGGTGGGGCCGAGAGCATCCAGACGAGCTCTTCACCGTCAAGTATATCGATCCCACTTACATGATAAGAGCTGTACCTGCAAATGCTACGGACAACTTGTATTGTACACTCTTGGCCCACTCGGCTATCCATGGAGTCATGGCTGGTTACACAGGGTTCGTGCCTGGCCCGATCAATGGGAACTATGCTTATATCCCCTTAGAGGAGGTGGCACTGACTAAGAACAAAGTTAACATGAGTGACCACAAGTGGGCGTGGGTGCGCTCAGTCACAAACCAGCCTGATTTTGAAACGAATTTTAAGGGGCAATCACTGTGAGACCTTTGAGGAGTTTGATTACATTAGCTTCCAGCGATCACAGGAAGAAGAACAATACATAATTACATATGTAATACGTATCTTTCAAAAAAAACAGATTGTAACCAACTTTAATGACATTTTAGTGATATAATCATATTCATGTCGAGAAACTTTCACATTGATAATATAATCCAGTCCAATTACTTTCACATTGCTATATAATCGAGATAAGGAAAGAAAATGTCAAATGAATTGGATGTTGTTACACTTTGATGAAAGTCTGGGGAGAGTCAGCAGAATAGCTCGCAAGAAGTCATTTCTGTTGGCGGTGTCCGCGACAACACCAACTTTCACAGTTTCAAGACATTCCAACTTGCCCAAGAAATGTCTCACCTGTTTCAGCTCTTGAAAAGAACCTCTATACTCTGAAATCTCTAGCACCTTCACTTGACATGTCAATAAACAACAAACTTCCTCCTGTTCCCTCACAATCACTCTCTGCTTCTTAGGGAAGCAAGCACATGCATCTCCGCATCTATTTGTTACTTTGTGCACAAGACCCTGAAACCAGAGAACAATTTGACATGAATGGGCAACACTAACAACAGAAAGAATCTCAATAAGGAAAATGATAATACCTTGAAGACTAAAGTGTGTAGATTTGGACAACTCTTGATCAAAAGTGGCATTACTTGCCAACCTTTTTTCTTGTTACTCTCAATATACAAATTAAGGAGGTTGTTGAACACCGGCATGGATTTACAGAGGAAATAAATTGCCTGATTTATATATGATCACAACAACAACAAAAAAAACCATATAGTGAGAGACCTTACTAGCTAGCTAGCAGTAGATTGATTCTAACCTTCTACAAACCAAAAATAGAAGAAGTATCAGAAACTGACCTCAAGGGAATCAGGAGACAAGTGAAGGGTTGTAATGTTGGTTATACCCGCAACTAGATTTGTAACATCACCATAATAATGATGAACAGTATAATCAGAATAATCATCACCGTCATCATCAGAAGAACCATAATTGTTATATGACTCCCATAACCTGAGATTCAGCCTGGCTTCGAGAAGCGACTCCAAATCAACAGACTGATAATTTCCGAAGACAAAACTGGAATAGTCAAGGTACACAAGACTTGGTGCTTCAAAACAAGATACTTTGTGGTGCTCTTTAGAATATGGAAGGTTGACAAAAACCACAAGTCGCTTGATGGATGAACTTTTCACAACCGCACCGCAACGTGGCAAACCAAAATGACCAGCATCACGTATGTATAACACTTCCAACGCAGGACAGCCATCGAGGAGGCGAAAATAGTTGTCATAATTGAGCATGGAAACTGATAACAGAGAAAGTGACTTGAGCGCAGGGAAAAACACACCCTTGACTTCAAGAGAATATTCACCGGATAGTGTGAGCCTAACCAGTGTGTTGCTGGTGAACAACTCTCTCTCTATCTCCACAAAATAACAGCGTGGATCGGCGTGCAAATGTAGTTCCAATAAACCACGTTCCTGTTCCAGAGCAGTCGAAATCCAACGATGGTATGCATCGTAATGGTCAAGTCTTGGTACATGACGCAGAGAGAATTTCTTGATGTGAGAATTGCTTAACAGAGCAAATGTCTTGTCTACGAAATCACAGAAGCGATCTGAACCACTTAGTGCTTCTTCTTCGTTTGGATACACAACCATCGCATCATCAAAATAAAGGCTATCTATATGAGTCAGCAGATTCCTCCACCTCTTGGACAGAATCGATGTCGAAGCAGCCACATTTGTCGGAAGTAAAGACAGGATTTTGCCAAGAATCTCATCTGGCAAATTGTTGATTGAATTTGAATCTCTCAAAGAATCCATAGCCATAAAACTAAGCTTTAATTGTACCTACTACACACTAAAGCAACCCGATTAAGGGTCAGAACAAGTTCCTCTTTTTTGAATGCGTTGCTTTTGAACAATGGAAGTGTTGGAATTTATAAAGGAAACAAAACCCAGAATCAAAGATAGATCCTTTAAATCGAAGGAGAGTGTAATTCAGAAAGAGACAGAAGAAAGACAAACTTACGACGGCAGAGGAGCCGAGAATATCGAAAAGCTTCTTGCTTTGCTTGACGATGGCATCTGAGAGAGAGAGTGAGAGAGAACACAAAGCTCTTTATAATATAAAATTAAAAAGTTGAGAAATTAAGTAAGCACTTGAGCTGCGCTAGTCTCTTTATGTGGATTTGTTAAACACTGCTAAGGCAAATAGAACACATGCAAGCATTATTATTATTTATTATCCAATCCTTTTGAATTATCAGAAATACAATGTAAAGAGTAGTAACTAATTTATAGTGCAACATGATGGGGCGGAGAAGACGATGGGGTAATGCTACATTTGGTAAAGAGATTGATGGTATTGAGTCTCTTTAACCACTTGGATCTCTTTTTCTCTCCAGGTTCACTTCTTGTTTCACTCATCTTTCTCTTCTTGCTCTTGTTCTTACTATTATCCAATCCAAAGCAGCTCGGCGCAGATACATTTTCACAGACAGACTCTCTCGATGACTGCATCGCGTAGATTTGGTTCTGGAGATGACACATCTTTTGAAAATGTTCATCCCTCATCTTAAGCACGCACCTAGCTAGCCTAACTGCTTCCTTTTTCATAAACAACGCTTCAGTGGCGAGTTCTCGGTTCTCTTCCAGGAGAGAAGTGAGTTTGTATCCGAGGTTTGCGGTTTCCTCTACTGCTACTTCTTTCTCCATGTCAAGTAACATCACAAGCTTCTTTAGCAAGTCAATTGTCTTGGAAGCTTCTTGCAACTTTTGTTCTCTGCGTTGTAAGTCGTGCTTGGCGGTATCTTTCTCCAAGTTTGCAGTCATTAGCTGCGAGACTAACTCTTCAATGTTCTTGTGCTTATCACAAGTGGAGACTTCCATCTGTTGAAAGGACAAGATGCTCTCTACTTCAGAAGTGATGTCAGTATCGGTATCATTGTCATGAGGAATGACTTGTTTAGGGTTTTGATTGAAACGGTCCAAGAGAGTGGCGTAACTATCGTAGAGATCTTGACAGAGTGAGAGAAGGAGAGGACGTCTCTGGTAAAACCATTCAGCACGTTGAGAAAATGTTTCACCGGTTTGGTTTTCTTCAAGAGCAGAGACGCGCATTACTTGCATCCGAGACTCGAGCTCTGTTGTCATTAAGCAACATTTCAAACCAAGCACAAAAACACATACAAAATTTGAATTTTTGAACACGAAGGTTAGTGCATGTACCGTAGAGAGATGGCAACTGTGGAAGAGGCGGCTGAGAGGCATCCATGGATTCTGTCGATTGCTTTGCTGGTTAAGGGAAGGTAGAGAAACAGGGGAAGCTCAAGGAAAATTTAAAAACACCATTTTCAAATTATAAAGAAAAAAAAGGCAAACGTATGAATTAGTGAGATATGGATATGGACATTAATGGGGTTTGAAAAAATTACAATAAATGCAGCAAATATCCGGAAAGGATACGTTCATCTAGCAGCATGAGTATATAACTATGGAAACTCTCCGAGAAGGTGAGAAATATGAGGATTTTGGAGATTTGTTGAATAAGCAGGAAGCATAAAAGAGGCAGTAAAATCCGCCCAAATCAAATTTGTATACGTTCAACTATAGGCATTTTGCACAAATTGGCTCACTACCATGGCATAAAAAAGTTGACATGCCGATTAAAAAAAAAACAACATGTTTACTAGTGTTTTATCGTCAATTAAAAGAATTTTATCCTGGATCACAAAGCTTATACCCACCATGTAGTGTTGTGGTCGACAATACAAACAACCTAAACATCTCTAAACACAAAAATAATCTTAATACAGATTCGACACAGAGCTAAAGAGAGCATCAAAGTCAGTTTTGATGTAATTGTCAAACAAAAGTATCATAAAGCATCTCATACTCAGAGAGAAAGGAGTGGCAAAAGAGAAATATCCAAACACTAGCAAACTCTCAGTAACAAGTAGACATAAGACAAGTCTTAGAAAGCAAACAAGATTATTCATTTATTAGGTCATAAAGATAGATAGAGGGTGCGAACCAACTCAGCAGTAGAACATAACACGCTTCACATTCTCTTTCAGTGCTGGGAGTGGCCTCACTGCAGCATTGATGTTAGGCCCACGTGTGCTTCTACCAGCCATTCCACCTCCACGTGCCATGCTCCCGCTAGCCATCGAACCACTGTCTGATGTCTCCGGCTCCATGTAGAATCGAGCCCTAAAAGCTGCTAGATGTGCATAATATGCAGGCGGCACTACAATATCCCAAAACAAAAAAAAATACTTAATTCTCTCTTCTTTATGTCAAAATCAAAGATGCCATTAAGGGAGGGAGGGAAACACAATACTCACCAATTGAAACTGAGCGTGTGCATCTTGCATACCTGTACAAGTCAAAAAGGTAGTTTTAAATGTTATTTTCCTTGCTATCTTACGAACACTTGTAACAACGAATATGTAAGCAAGGGTAAAAAAATCTTACGTGTAACATAAGTTATTGGTCAGAGATTGAAGTCCATCTGCAGTAAAGTTGTTTTCATCCCAAAGAACGTGGTAATGAGCAGGTCGAGAAGTGCCCTGTTCATGGAATTTTGGTTTGTTAAACACTTGAATAGGAAGGATCTCACCCACAAACTCATTTGAGATTACAAATTATACCTGAATACCAGCATGACTACAGAGGTAAAAGTCGAACTCGGTAGGGTGACAGATTTTAGAGTCCACAACAGTGCCTACAGTTAACAAAGGTGTAAAAAAACCTTGCAAGGGATTTGCAGCTGATTAACTAACGCACAATAAGCTTAACAAATATTCAAACTTGTCTCACCAGGTAAAATATTCCCACTTCTGTCCACCGAATGACGATCATTGTGGTTGTGAGCAAACAGCCTCGTGTGATGGCGCTTTTGCACCACCACAAATGTCACTGGTGGCTGATAACCTGCTTCCAGCGAAGCACATGCCTAAAATGGGTTGAAATTAAAATCAGATTAAGCAGAGACAACAACCACGTAACACAAGCCATTTGTTAGAAGTAACTCTTACCTTGCGGATAGCATCAAGTTCATAGAGTAAAACTTGGTAAAATTGTCCTTCACTGACTCCATCCCTGTGCAGAAAGACCATGCCATACATTTTAGAAAGAGAGATACAAAGTTGTTTAGTCAAGTAAGTGCCATCAGACGAGTTAATACCTGTAGAAGATGATCCTTAGCGGTTTATGCCCAGTTGATCTACGGAAGGCTATGAGTAACTCCCTGCTCACAAGTAAGGAGAAAAATGTACAGAACTGTTACTTAAGAGCAAGCTGAAGCTAAAAACTAATTACAAATATAGTAAAAAACATCAAAACGTACTTTATCATGCCACCAGTCACCACCCCTTTCTGAGGATCCTTCCACTCTTTGAACAGATCCTGAATGAGCTCCTGCCTATGCGCTTGAGCGCAAACTAATCCAGCATATTTAGTGATTTCAGGCCAATCCTGGGATGCCACAACCTGAAAACCAAAATTTCATTGTCAACAAAACAAGCACTATATAAAAAGGTTAAGGCCATGGAAATAAACAAAAGCATCCATATACAGAACTAGATGTTAAAGGAGAGACTAACTTACAGCAGCAATAGATGGGCTTGAATCCTCTCCAGGGTGAGGATGGGTAACATCAGCACCAAATATAATGGTGGGTCGATCACTGACTAGAGGAATCCGCCTTGATAAAGCATCAACAAGCACTGTATTCCTCCCTCCAACCTTCACATTAATCTTCAGCGCAACATTAGCCATGTATTGTTTGCTCATCTTAAAGACATGCTTTGTCAGGCAGCATTGAGAGACAATGCCAAGTTCAGTCTCACATATGCGTTTCAAATCACCTGCAATGGATGTTATAGAGGAAGATAACATGAAAAGTGTGTTCAGAGCAGTAGACGATGAGACATCCTAGAATACGGCTCATACCATATAATGATCCGTTATTGTCGGGAAGAATGACAATAAGCAGATCAATTTCCTTTCCTTGGGAGAGTTTTGATGTGGCATCATGATATCTCGTCTTCAAGACCTTCTCTACTTGCTCAGGGCGAGCACTGACTGGTGGGAGGACTGGTTCAGGATTAAATGCCTGCAGGTAAGAAAGAAAGAAAAAAAAGTAAGGGTAGGATTCAGCGTAGGAAAGGTTAATAAACTGATCAAGCTGTACTTTACAAGACTCACCATGCCAGATACATAGCACATTTGAGCAAGTTCCTGACAAAACGTACGAGCTAGATTGTCCTGCACTTGCCTAGAAAAGTTGATGCAGATCCAATTATTCACCGTTCCACCATTGATCATTTTCTGCAGAGAAGACTCATATCAGCCAGACAACAACAGAAAATGTTGTGATCACTTTCAATAACGAACACAAACAAATTCAGTTGAGTATTTACATACATAGCTACACAAACAAACAAAACACTCTTTGCAACTAGTCAAGTGCCACAGCCGTACCAATTTAAAGAGAAAAGAATTCTAGAATAACATGCCTAAGCAGAGAAATAAATAAACAATTTTCTTGCTACTTACCTGGAAATACAGCTCAGCCATGATTAAAAAATATTCAAATAAAAATGACGGCATAATTATACATTTATATAGGTAACACAAGAAAATAACATTTGAGTACTTAGTTACCTTATTCATCATGTTCCATTGACCAACTTGTGGCAGACAAGTCCCTTCCCTTCCAGACTCGTGGTACTTAAGCTGCAGAACAGAAAAATCAGATTGGAACCCTATTTTGAGAAATTAAGATACAGAGAAAAAAGTGTAATAGCCAATAGACAAATGAACGATTATTATACCCATGGCGGAGGCAGTATGCGAGCCTCAACAGAAGCCAGAGACGTACTTATTTTGATGCCAAACTCCTTAGCATAGGGATCTTCCTTATAATTATTGAGTTCTACCGTCTACGCAATCAGAAAAAAATTGAATCATGTTAGCAATAAACAATTTAGTCTTCAACAGTATATGAATATTGAACCTCAACATGCTAACAAAATTTAGAGGGATAGCTAAATTAAGAGCACAATTCTAAAGATGGCAATCTGCCTCACTATTTATTAAGTAAAGGCCTCGTGTCAAGTTAAATCACCTGCTTCAAGCAAACATTTGCAACCAAGTAAGAAGAAACAGGTTTTAAAGCCATTCATTCCATAATGAGCCTTTAACCCCAAGTTTATATGATTTAAAACGACTAGCAAGATATGAATTGAGAAAATCACTTGCTTCAAGCAAACACATGCAACCAAGCAAGAAGAAACAGATTTTACAGCCATCTATTTTACAATGAGCCTTAATCACCAATTTCCATTATTTAAAAAGACTATCAAGATAGCCTAACAATAAGAAACTCAACATTCAAGTGAAGGAAAACAAAGTTATCCAAAATAAAGAAACATACCCGTAAGATATCTTTTTCTCGTTCTAGGGGGCGCTGACAGGTAACCTTCAGCAAAGCAGTGATCTGTCTCTCATTCAATCTTTTCGAATATCGCTGGCCTTCAACAATCTTGCATACCTGTGCAGCAACACATTAGAATAGGAAGTACTGGTGAGCTAATAAAACCTGATGACGTATTTCAAAGTTACCTCCATTGGTAAGTAATTTGGCCTGTTAGAATTCCCAACTTGCAAGCATGGTAGTTGAGTGTGCTGAATGCGAAAACCATATGTTTCGTGGAAGTACTCTACAACAGATTTCTGAGTATTTCTTTCATCTACTGGGAATCTGAAAAGGATAAAAACAAAGAGTATAAGATTAATTTCATCGAGTTCAACATTGACGAAATAAGAGTAGTAAATCTAAAACAAATACGCACGTCAATTCCCGAGTGGCCACAGCAGTCAAGCCAGAAATACGGTACTTCCGGCGCATGTTTCCTCGATGAGTCACTTCAACCTTGACACCTCTAAGAGCCTTTTTTATCTGTTGACAGAAGAAGATTTGAAGTCACTAAACAAAGAAGAGTAAATAAAATACAACATTTCACTTACTACAAAAAGTGATCGTACAATGATAACCAGAAAATTACAATTGTTTCATACCTTAACACGATCAGCATCAGATAAAGGTCGAGATGAAATATCCCGGTTAAGCAAATCACAGACAAAATTAATCACAGGGGATGCCTCTATGAATGCTGTCGATGACATATCTACAAAAGAGACAAAATTGCAGTACAACCATGCGCTAAAACATTACAAGGAGAACCAGATATCAAAAATTATTGAATGTCATTCAGCAGCCATCAAACCA